AAAAAATAGTGGTGATCTATTAATATACATTTTTTTAAAGTTCCATTTTTGACAGTTTATTTCATTTATGAAAGAAATATTCGGTTATATTTTAAGCTGCAATAATTCATGTGTAATATTGATTTGTCTCTCAAACTTCCATCTGCATAGTTAAATCAATAGTTCAGCAGCACAGTACATGCAGATGTGTGACGTCTGTTTTCTTTCTTTTCTTTTTTTTTTAATATTGTCGGCTTCAAAGGTATGTTACTTGGGTTTTTCCTTGTAGTATATTTCAGGTTTTGCTATCGTATATAAAATTCAAATGTGTGAATAAACTGTTAAATTCCTCGTAATTTTTATTTTTGCAGTTGTCAATAATTGAGGACATCCATTGTAGGAGAAAGGTACACAATGAAGATACGTCTTCGTCTTGAACTGAAGAATACAATAAAACAACGTAAGAAGACAGATTTTGTTTTACAAGAACATAGTGGCAAAACTTGATAAATCACCGAAATCATGCATAATATGTAATAGTTTATGTTTTGTATCGATTAGTTTTCGAATGACATTGGATATTATGGTATTCTTTTATTATTTAGATTAAATTTTGTACTCACTTTAGCAATATACTTTGTCCCATTTGATTTACGCACCTAATGAAATATGGAGATGACGAACAGTAATCAAGCTCAAAAGTCTATTTAAGGTTTTGCCAAAGGTCAAGATGTCCAAAATTTATTTTAATTTACAATAGCTCCAAAACTATGAGAGGTATAAAGTTAAAACTTTTACAGTTTATAAATATTTCATTAATTAACAGATAGAAAGTATCACTTGAAAACAAATATTTAAAATAGTATATTTTTTGAGAAAAAAATTCAGAAAATTCGCATATTTAAAAAAAAATGCACCTGCTTAATTCTGTACTTTTAGTGAAAACCACCATTGCAGAAATAATATATGTTTATCAATGAAGGACAAGTTGGACGTGAATGGTCTCTGAAAGGCTGTTATTGGAAGAATGACAGGTATAAAGACAAGACTCCTATAAAATCCGCCATTCGCAATGTACTTTCGGTTTCAAATCTTAACATTTGGACAAAATAAACAGGGAAAACAACCTTCCAGAGGATATCGAAGTCCAACTCGGCACTTTAAAGTGAAAGTTGCGGGTCTTTCGGATGAGTTCAAAAAAAAATCCGAGGCCCCGTGTCACTGTAGGCGTTGGTACGATAAAGAACCCTCACTGCTCAATGGCCCTGAGTGCCGGGTAAAGGTCTAAATTTGAAGCCCTTCAGCGGTACTGTAAACCAACTTTTATTCGCGTGCGAGAAATATTCGCAAGTTTCGCGATCTACTTTAACTCGCGAATATTAATCGCCGCGACCCATTTATTTTGCTTTGTATTAGTAGAAAATGTTTCCTCAGTCGCGAAAATTAATCGTCGCAGATTGATTTCAAACTGACGAATCGCGAATAAAATTTGATGCGAATAATAGTTGGTTTACAGTATATGGTGACGCCTCTGTATAAGTGAAAAATTCTCGAATGGGACGTAAAACAACATACAATCAATCAGAATCAATCTTTATCTTTTTACTCTAGTTACTTACATTCTTATGTCGACACGATATATCCCAGTGAGATTGAAATAAAAGATACCACAGAGTCCAACACATATGTTTCATTTTTGGATATCTTACTGGAAAAAGTTGTAAATTGTGACCAAACAACAAAACTTTGTGATAAACGTGATGCCTTCAACTTTTCTATCGTCAACTTCCCTTACTAGTACATGTAGCAATATACCCTTATCACCTGCAAATGGGGTTTATAATAAATATATCCCAACTGATTCGATATGCAAGAGCATGCTCTACGTACGAACAATTTCTAAAACGATGCAAGCTATTGACAAACAAGTTGATGAAACAAGAATATGAACAGTTTCGTTAAATGTCATCATTTCGCAAGTTCTATGGTCGATACAATGACCTTATCAGCAAAAATCATTAAGTTGAATGCTGACGAACGTTTTTCATATTAATTGTTAGGCCACAATTTAAACATTGAATTGTCTACGGATTTTTCCGTTTTCCCCATCAGGACAAGGAGCACACAGCGGGTGTGAACGGTCGCTTACTCCCCCATGGCACCTGGTCCCACCTCTGATGTTTTTATATCTCCGTGTTTGTTCTGCTCTGGATTTGTATTTTTTCTATGGACTTTTGAGCTTGATTATTGTTCGTTATCTCAATATTTGATTTAAGTTAAAACTCAAAATCTACTGCATCCAGCTCAATTGGATTTGCAAAATGATGAATTAAATACTGGAGCAATAAGCTCAATTGGATTTGCAGAATGATAAATTAAATACTGGAGCATCAGTATGGTCATAGGGAGAATTTGCTTGTGTGCGTGTGTTTTTGCCTTTTGTTTCTTGCTTTTTGTTTCTTTTTTCTTTTCTTTTTATTTTGTTTTGTGTGTATGTTTTATTCTTTGTTTTATGTCAAACAAACAATGCAGTTCTGTAAATGCACACTTCTTGCAAGTCACTTATTATAAATGTCAAATATTTAATGCAGAAAACAATGGATAGATTTAATGCAGAAAACAATGGATAGATTTACCTTCCTCGACAAAATATGCACTTCTCCCCCCTCCCCATCTCTCTCTCTCTCTAATCCGATATAGGTCAATAAAGGTATACATGTGTGTTCATGAATTATAATAGGATTTTTTGTACCAGCAAAACAGATTACATATGTATTTTATGAGAAACATTTTCAAATTAGTACCTACTTTGTATTTTGCTTTCAATGCTGTCTCAATAAGAACATGATAATCCGATAGAATAAAGGAGAATTATGATACAGGGCATGATGTGGCCAACAAAAGGTTTTTCATCAAAAAGCTGGAAAACAAAATACTGAATATTTCTGTAAGCAAAAAGAAAAAAAGCAGCGGACCAGACAAGGATTCGAACCCGCATCCCCCTAGTCAGGTGCTCTACCAACTGAACTTTGAAAAAAGTGAAAGTAACGAACATTGATAGATCTAAAAAATCTTAAAATCAATAGAACTTTGTGAACTGGGCATAAAATACGGACCCCTGGACTTTTAAGAGGTGGGATCAGGTGCGTAGGAGGATTAAACATTCCCTGATGACATGTCACATCCGCCGTGAGCTCTATGTGCATGTATTGATCAGGTGAGCGGAATTATCCGTAATCAAATTAAGCATAGAAACAATGGCTTCAATTGGTATGAAGCATGTTATTCAAAAAATAACCCAATAATACTAGTAGGTTGTATCTGCAATGCTATCTTTATACGAGATTGTTGAGATCCCTATAACATCAACCTATTTGTCAGTAGCTTGCCTCGGTTTGAAAATTAATCGAACTCAGAGCATGCTCTTGCATATTGAATAAATTGAGAGACATAGACACCATATGTAAGTGATAGTGGAATAAGGAAAGTTGACGATGGCCATTATCGTCTATCGTCAGTAAAATATCCAAATTTGAATAGATGTGGCAGACTCTGTGGTGGCTTTTATTTCGAATTCACTGGGATATATTGAGTTAACATATGAATGAAAGTTACTATTGTTAATTGTTAAGACGCCGACGATATATCTGGCCTCCAGCGATCGAACCCGTCTGACTGTCACATTCCTTCCTTCTTAAAGGTCAGCACCCTCGAAGAAAGAAGCCAGGCTTTTCCCTGGCAGGTCTTTTGTCTGGCACTTCCAGGGCATGGCCACGTCACCAAATGTAACAGTAAACAAATGCAACGGATCAGACCAAGATTCGAACCCGGGCCCTCTGAATCACTAGTCAGGTGTTCTGGCCACCAACAATCAAAACTTCCTGACCGCCACTTCCCTTCCTCCTTAAAGCCCCCCTCTCCCACAAACTCTACCCTGGCATGTCTTCCACCTGTCACATCATGTTTACGCACCAAATGTAATGGGAAACAAAAAACACGGGTAATCAAAGATTACGAAACTCACCTCGACGAATGTAATCTATAAGTTAGGCAAATCTCACGCATTTTTTTTCTACCTGTGTGCATTCTGAGATCAATATCCATGAAAGTTTGGTTTATTACTTGGGAATGGACCTGCTCTAAAAACTTAAACTTGTTCACTCGTTCAGTAAAAATGTACGCCAGATCCAGCATCCGAAGCAAGTCTGATAAGAGTCCATTCCTATAGTTGCATCATTCATCCAAGTTTAATCATATTAACAGGCTATATATATAGTTGCAGAGCTCTCCAAAAACATTAACCTGGTCTCTCATCTGAAAAATGTGGGTCAGATCAGCATCTGAAGCAAGTCTTATAGAGTGCATTCCTAGATACATCATTCATGTAAAGTTGGTGTAGGTTGGGTTTATAGTAACTTGGGAAAGGACCTGCTCCAAAAACTTCAGCCTGTTCAGTTATCTGGAAAATGCAAGTCAGATCCCGCATTTGAAGCAAGTCTTGTAGTGTCCATCCCTAGATGCATCATCCATGCAATTTTGTTCAAGGTAGGGCTTATAGGTAATCGGAAATGGACCTGCTCAAAAACCTTTTAACTGGGACGCTGACGCCGAGGGGAATAGCATAAGATCATCTTCGTCGAGGTGAACTAAAAATGCGACGGACCAGACCATGGAGGATTCGAACCCGGACCTCCTGAATTACTCAGGTTCTTTACCATGCATCTGAGCTATCTAGTAACCGGCAATCTAAACCGTCTGACCCCAACAGTTCAATACGAGGTAAAACTACTTTTCCATTGACTTCGCAGATATATACAGTATACTTTCCTCATCAGACGTTGAAATGTGCAGTAGAAATTGTTGTTGGTTTTTTTAATATACGTGTACCTACTTATAAAGCTTGTGCTAATGAAAATAGTATAGAATAGGAATAATGATATGCTTGTCCTCTTTTGTTTGAATTGAATGAAACTTTTTTTTTCAGATCGTTTGTGTATATTAGTACTTCTCTGCGGTGTTGTTGCTTGGTTCCAGCTTCATACATCAGAAGAAATATTAGTACATTCGCCTTATATTGCATGTGTCAAATTCAAAGGTAGACTCGGGAATCTAATGCTACAATATGCCTTTCTTCATATAGCAGCTAAGATAAATCTACTTATTCCTATCATTCCAGAAAACTTTGAACTCTCTGATATATTTTATATTTATGATAAAACACCGCCAGAAATTAAGGACAGAAAAGCAGTTTGCTCAAGACTGCCTCTCCGTGTGGAGCGTTGGGGGCTCTCTTTCGATGAGGATCTTCTGAGTGTTCCTTGTTGTAAGAGCGTTCAATTTGACGGATATTATCAGTCATGGAAATACTGGATAAAATATGAAGAGGAAATTCGGGACCTGTTTGTTTTTAAAAATTCTATCAGGGAAAAGGCATTGTCACAATTCCAAAACATAATGCTTATCATGAACTTTGATATCAGCAAGAAAGGTAACATCGTTGTAAGTATACATATAAGAAGAGGTGACTATGCAACCAAAGGACATTTAAAATACGGTAAAATCACACCTAATGCAACTTATTACCTCAATGCAATGAAATATTTCAGAGATAAATATGAAAATGTATTATTTATTGTGGGTTCTAATGACATAGAATGGTCGAAAAAGGCTTTGAACAGAGAAAGTAATGTCTATTTTTCCACTGGACTTTCGGCCGCTGAGGACATGGCGTTGTTATCCCTGGCCAATCACACAATCATGTCGGTCGGAACTTATGGATGGTGGATTGGCTGGATGGCAAGGGGAACAACTGTGTATTACAAACATATATTTGTTCCTGGATCTGAATTTTCGAAAGAATTTAGAAATAATTCAACCAAAGATTTCGTTTATCCAGGATGGATTCCGATGGATGAATCACTTGCATGATGAAAACAGATTTTTTAAATAAATGTCTTTGCAAGTAGAAAGAAATCGGCAAGTATTCCTAAAAACTAACATTGCCCTTTAAAAATGACTGAAAAGTTAAACATAACATCAAATGACAGCTAGGAAGTTTTGTCGATACTAAGTTTTTTTTTAGGAGGGGTGGGGAGTATGAACGAAGAAGTAATTTTAATTCTGAACAAAACAATACCGACTTTTCCAATGGCACAACCTACTTCCAGACAAATGAGGTTTTGTGAATTTGGATTTCTCACTACTGCTAACTGTATGAGAAATACATTGTATAGTAAAGGTTTAATTTCAAATATTAAAGTATATCTTTTGGGGGGATGTAATACGTTCATCTAAGGTAGTTTGGGAGGGGTGTGTGGACTGTTGCCATTTCCTTATATTCCTCACTAGTATTTCTTGTATTTTTCAGGTTCATGTAATACATTTATTCTTTTACTCTTCCCTATTTCTTTGTTATCACATTTTTCTAAAGAGCTACATTGTGTGTAAATATTTTCTTTAAAATCGGGAAGTCATTGCTATGTACTAGTACTCTAGCTTGCTTCCTTTTCCCAGACTATTGTAGGAAATTTAGCTTTGTGAATTGTTTTTCCTTTCCTCTAATCCCTATTTGCTCTTGGTAATATAGCCTAGTTTTGCTAATTGGTAAACGTGGTACTTTTTGTAACATTATGTTGTTGATAAGTGGCTTGTCAATAAACTTTCATGTACATGTACATCGTTCTTACCTCAATTCATTCCATTCGCTAGCCAAGGGCTTTCGGTTCGCTTTGCTCCCGGGGAGCAGGGAGGACCAGAAATCCTTTGCTAGCGAAGAATGCATGATTGGTATAATCTGCAATTTCGACATTACGATCGAATTTCACTATGTTAACGTTGTGCATAAATTAGCTGATCATGTTAATATCTCTACAAATATTAGCTTTTCTAAAACCTTGTCTGACGTAGAAAATTTTATTTTTATGTCCTAGTTTAATCGGTATAAATAAATTCTTTTGCTAAGATTGAAGAAAAGAAAGATCCAGTGTAAAACTTTAAATGAGACTCGACTTGAATTTATTTGTCTAATTGTTCTCTTTTAAAGCATGGATATAGCCTGTGTTTGATAAATGTGAAAGGCTATGAACAACACAGAAAGATCTTAACAGGACATTCGACAAGTGTTGACCTGACCAATTTCATTCCTGTTGTTTTGCTGGACATGATTGATGCATCCGAGAATGGCTAAATATTAAGTAACATGTACAATATATAATGTGATAATAATGAAAAGATTAATTTTGTTTTAACGTCCAATTCTCTGCTCTTGATCGAGTGTTAAGAATATTTCCATTAATTAATCCTCATGCTCTCAAATTGACAGTGGCGATAGTATGAAGTTTCCAAGACCGAATTATCACAAGAACACTACTGAACTTGTCCAACAAGCCTTGACTAAATCTAGTACTGTCTGACACCACGACGTCCGACAATTGCATCCAGTAAATATAGATCACTCATTGGCTTTTTGTCATATCCCACTTGACAAACACCTGAAAATCATGAGTTTCTCAGGCTATGACAACATTAATATCTCCAGCTGAAATTGAAACTCTGATCTAACAAGTCTAATGTGACAAAATAAGTTTGGTGAGGAGTCTATAATCATTATCACATTCATACAGCTGGTCCTCTAGAAGTTCAAAAGCAAAGAAATTAAGGTTCACTGTATATAAACTGAAATAAATGACTTACATATTGTCACTTAGGGATATGATCCCTGGATCCAAAAGACATGATTTAAAAAAAAAAACTAGAGGAACTGTGAGCACAGAGATTACAAAATGATAGCTCCGCCTTCCATATGTTTACAATGGCAAAGTTCATATTTTGCTATAGGAGTGTCTGATCAAAAAAAAAAAAAAAGGAGGTGCACAATGGCACTGTGTAACAAAGATTCTGTGAAAGCCTCATTAAATTTTAATCAGAGGTATAGGAGGAGTTGCGGATAAGAGATGGGTACCCCTCAATATAATAGAAGGAATGGCATTGTTCTATGTTGTGCTATTGGAAACCAAAATATGTGTCCGATCAAAAAGTAAAATAGGAAGTCACAATGGCACTATATAACAAAGATTCTCAGTGAAAGTATCATTAAATTATATTCAGTGGCATAGGAGGAGTTGCGGAAAAGAGATGGGTGCCCCTCAATATTTTAGAAAGAATGATCGTGTCTCTGTTTTGCTATTGCAAACCTGAAATATGTATCCGATCAAAAAGTAAAATTGGTAGTGCATAATGCCATAAAGATTTTCAGGAAAATTAGTAAAGAGTTTTCAAACTTTGGTCTGAACGCTGGATGCAAGGGACATGAACTTTACAACTCATTTTTAACATTTAATCAGTTTGCCCCTAAGATGCCCTTTAGAAAAGATGATTTTCAAAGAAGTTAAGTGTTTTCAATAACTGACCAACTACTGGGAACTAAACACACACCCTATAGCCAGGAAATTTTACATTGTTTGGTAAAGAACTAAGTGCTACATGTAACTACTTGCCTGTTAGATGGCCAAACGTAGAAAAGATTTTCCAAAGTGTACTGTATTTTCAATATATGACCAGCTACTTGCCTGTTAGATGTCCAAACGTAGAAAAGATTTTCCAAAGTGTACTGTATTTTCAATATATGACCAGCTTTGTCCAACCCTGGAGCCTGAACCCTGGGCCCATGAATTTCACAGTTTTTGTAAAGATTTTATTGTTTGTAATAATCATGCTAAAGATTTCACCGATTGATATCCAGGAAAAAAAACAAATGTATTATACTTTTTTCTTTTCTGGATTATGTATTGCTAGGGTTTTTAAATGATCTCGGATTTTTGGTTTGAATAAGATTAGAAATTTGGCCTATATACAGATTTCTTTGACTTAATTCTTCAAACTTAGCTTTTCTAATTACATGTGTAATCACAGTTATTACAGAGTTTACTGCAGAATGATCTGCAAGTTTCATAGTATCCAGAAGTTGAACCAATTATTTGTTTGTTTAAAGTCCCTTCAAGAATTTTTCACTCATATTGAGACGCCACCAATTGCCAGCGAAGGACTGCAGAATTAGAACTATACTTGGCACTTTTAGGGCCACTGAGCTGTGAGGGAACTTTTTCCTGCCAGCACTTACTGTGACACGGGACCTTGTTCTATATGGTCTCATCCGAATGACCGGTCTTCATATCCCACAATGGGATTCGAACCTGGACGTAAGGATCAACTCCTTTCTTTGCGACTCTGGAGTAAACACTCTATCCAGTTGAACTAAAAGATCAATGCTTGATTTTTATTTCAAAGGGATTGCTAAAGTCATTGATCCAACAAAAGAACAAACATCTGTAGCAAACAAGTCCTGTGCTCTTTGTATTTGATAATGATAACTTTTTTTTCCTGCGAGACAATCATGAAATTTTTGCAATAATCTCTGGTCCAGCTACATGTACCATTTACAATCCACAGAGAAGAGCTGATTCCTCATTGGTAAGGACAATAATTCCTCTGTCATCCTTTATACATGTATATGAATTATATGTTCATCTACTGATCAATGGAAAAACGGAGCAGAGAACACTCTTTTGGTTTTTACGCTGTACATTTTTCTGGTTACTTTGGAATGGTTTAGTGTGTCACCAGGATGAACAGGAATCCAACAAGTATAATAAAATATGTGATCTAAGGCATGGAATTAGATTGCAATCTCTGTAAGAGCTTCAGAATACATTGGGAATGATTGAAGCCTCATATGGCACCTGATCCCTCCTCCGATGTGTTTGGAGGTCCTTGTTTGCTCTGCTCCCATTTGTAGTGTTTTAAAAGTGGACTTTGAATTTAAATACTGTTCGTTACCTCCATATTTCATGTAGAAGGAAGGTCAATGCACAAATATCAGTTGAACAGAACTTAAAATGGAGATAGGATTGATCCTTTCATTGCAAGGCTTTTAAGCTCCAGAATTCTGAGCATATTAGTCAGTAGCATGTTGCTGAAATATATACACAGGACAGAGAGGTACGCGCGCGAGCTCTTCTTCAATGAGAAACATAGGATGTGTGCGACAAAACGTCATCTGTCCCTGTAGTCATAATATCCCCTCTCTAAGGGTGACTGGATCAATTCATAAACCCAGTCATTCTCATAAAGGAATTTGATGTAATTACTTGTAACAAGAGCTCGTGGGACACAACGCTTACCCTAAGAAAACTCAATATACTACACATACACGTGTCAAAAATATCCAGTGTTCAACTATTATTTGTACTCTGCCAAAATATCAAATACATGTAAATCATGATGACTTCACCTGACCTAAACTTAACTTATTAAAGGGGCCTGGACACAATTGCATTGTTTATATATTAATTTCCTACGTTTATTCAAAAAGTAAATTCAGTTTAGTGAATTGAACTTACATGAATATTCTTAAATTAAATGACAACAGATTCTTCAAACACCTGTGATTGCAAAAAGGGTACGAGCTCTGTTATTGTTAATGTTTACGTTTTACCGGGAGTGCTCAATTTGTCTACTCTGCACACAACACTGAACACGGACTGAAGATACTGGTGAGCTTGATTTGCTTTCTCGCACTTCTATTCTTAATTTTCTAGGGTATGGTTTTATTATTTATGCACAACTAAATTTTTACTTTACTTAAGTATTAAGGATAAAGTTTACTTTGTAAAAGTTCAAGGATATCAGTCAATCAAACGCAGCCCGAAATTCATAGTTTTAATAATTTCCAAATAAAAGAAGTCTCTAGACACGCTTTTATTATACTTCGACGTGAAATGCTCTAGCAATATAAAAGTCATAATATTATACTGAAAATTTTTGAAAATATTAACTTCAAGTTTGTGCCCTTTTAAAAGGACCTGGAGCGAAAAATTCTCGAGAGGAAAGTTAAACAACAAACAATAAATGGACCTGGAAACAGTTGCACTGCCCGTTTTGTTTATGATCTTGATTTCTAGTTTTATTAAAACAAAAAAATAACCTCAGTTTAATGAGTTGAATTTCCATGAAAATTCTTTAAATTCAATGAAAATAACGTTTTTCATAATCACGTTAAACACCAGACCTGTGTTTGAAAAACATGGACACAGTTAATCTCTCTTATTGTTAACGTTTACCTTTTTCCGGGTGTATTCAATTTGTTTACTCTGCACACATCTCTGAGCACGGACTGACAATACTGGTGAGTTTGTTTTGCTTTCTCACCTTTCTACTGTGAATTTTCTGGATTACGTTTTTAATATTTTTCATACATAACAAAATTTTCACTTTTCTTAAATATCAAGGATAAAATTTACTTCGTGAAAGTAAATCTAACGTGTCCTGAAATTCGTAGTTTTAATAATTTCCAGATAAAAGAAGTTTCTAAACACACTTTGATAATATTTTAGTGCGAAATGCTCTATCAACATGTAGGTCATTATATTATACTATATATATATATATATATATATATATATAGACTTTCAGAAAATATTACCTTTTAATCTGTGTCCAGGCCTATAGGCGGCGGAAAGGGCAAAAAATACCATATAAATTATTATAATTTCAATGTCCATAAAAACTTAACAAATGACATTAAATGCATAATCAACAGACCTTTTTGCACAACAACTATTAATTAAAGCAAAACCAACAATTCAGAACAAACATAGATAATGCAAAACGAACATGTTCTCCAAAAAGACCCCCCGTCAACAACAAGAACAGCACTGCATTGGACCCCAGAGGGCAAAAGAAAGAGGGGGAGGCCTAGAACATCATGGCGAAGGACAGTTGAAAGCAAGATGAAAGCTATGCACCAGACCTGGGGATCATTGACGAGGCAAGCCAAGGATAGACAAAAGTGGAGGAAGTTTGTTGCTGCCCTACACACCATAGGGTGTAAAGGACAATGATTATGATCTTAAAATAGTTAAAATTCCTGAAGTGGCAATAGAATAGACAATTGCATAAAAAAGTTTCAGAATTTTTATTAGTAAAACTTTTAATTGAAAAAAGAAAAATATTACTACATCCTAAAAGACCTTCTTAAATGCATAATCAGATGAAATTGTAGCTTTTTATGCTTCAAAATGGTGCCAAGGATATAAATGAATAATTTAATTTTGGTTGTAATGCGTCATTTGATTGGATAAAAGAAATTAGAATATATCGTATAACCTGGGTTGCCTAAGTCACAATGACTTACATCAAAGACGTATCAAGCGTTTAACAATTTGAAGGCATTTTGAAGGAGAAATGGTCTTATTTTTTTTTTTACACTTAATGATTGAAAATTAAATTATAAGGAATGAATTTAATAGCTACCCAAGTTATACTGATATATCCTGGGTTGGAACAGTTTACGCTTTTTTATAAACCAATTCATTCCTTAATTAGATCTAAACCTTGATCAAGTTTCTTCTCTTGTGTATGTGAAAGAAATTGTCTTTTTGATTGTTAATTAACATTTTTTTTTTTTAATTCTGGTTTGAAAAGTTTTAATATGAAAGAAATATGAAACAACAACCCCCCCCCCCCCCCAATTACTTTTTCGTCTCCATTTAAGTCAGTTCTTTAAATCTAAGCCAAAAAAAGAATTTTGATATACAAGTTTTCTTATAAAAGATGCTAGATTTTGAAGTGATCCTATTTTACCTTATTTTGTTGCACTCCTGACATCTGGTATGTATTTTATTAAATTATAACACACAATTACTCATTCAAAGTTTGTAAATCAATTTCTCATTTTAATTTTTTTTATTTACTACAAGTTTTTTCCATACTTTCTAGACTTCAACATATATTATTTGTTTGTGTAATACATATTTTAAAAAATATGTTGGGTGACATATAACTAGTATTCTCCGAATTGACAGTAAAATGTCCAAACAATATCTGTAATTTTTCGATAGCCATAATGATTTGTACAAAAAATAATGTCAAACATTTTATGCAATTTATTTTTTAGCAAAGATAGATGAAGTTCATTGATAATTATAAAACAGTTTTGTTGCACTCCTAACTGCATTTAAATTTAAAAATTAAAACCATAGTAAACAAAAAAATCATAAAGTTCTGGCAACATCAAATGAAATTGTGCAATATATGTATTTATCCCATGTTAACCCCTTTATCCCGTGGATATGACTCATTGGATAAATTTTTAATAATCCACAGTCAAGTGCAGTTGTGACGTCGCAATGGTTTTTGCGTTAGCGTATTGAAGTAAAATAAAGTGGAGTCCTATATAAAACAGTGTAAAACATTGTTTGTGAAGTATTAAACAAGGGATAAAAAGAATCTCCCATGATTTGTAGTTGGATATGACTTTTATCCAACTCGTTGTGTGTTTTTATCCCCTCGCCAAGGCTCGGGGATAAAAAACACACAACTCGTTGGATAAAAATCATATCCAACTACAAATCATGGGAGATCCTATATTTATAGTCCAACACTTCATGGTTAGAACACATAAAAGTATAGAAACTTGGCTTTCTTTCTTTAATTATTCCCTATTTGTGTAAAAAAGACTAGCCAAAAAATATATTTAGAAGATAAACGTATACTTTATAGTTTATTTTCCTTCACATGGCAAACACTGTAAGCAACTGGGGTCAACACGAAACATTCTACTCATGGATTTTTTCTTTATATTTTTCATCATAATTTTATCAGCAATAATTCTACCATTTTTGTTGCACTCCTGACCAAAAGCATGCAAGTCTTTTAAGTAGAATTATGAAGCAAAAATTACATCAGGAACATGTCCTGTTCTTTCAGTGAAATTGAGGTGGAATTACTTGAATTTTATATAACAAATTTTCAGTGGGTTTTTTTTTTTTTACATTCATAATAAAAATTCAAAGAAAACATAAAAACACATCTGGATTGATAAAATTGAAAAGGAGACAGATTTTAAAAATAAAACTGTCAATAATTTAGTACTAAATTATTGAAATAAATCACTTTTGATTAAAGAATATTTATCAGTATGAATAGAGGTCTTTTCATCATATAACTTGGATCTTTTTTAAAAAAAAATGTGTTGCACTCCTGACCATAGAAATATAAATCTAAAACACAGACAGACCATGTTATTTATTCATCTATTTGGTAAAAATGTTATTTGTGTATCTCTTTTCCAAAATAAACATCAGAGAATCATATACAGATAAAAGTTTTTCCATGTTGGGGAGCAAAACATAAAATGTTGCACTCCTGACATAACTGGGTATGCACAGATACTTGACTCTCATTAATGCTCCTTGTGATTTATGTAACATTTTTAAGTTTTAAATGGCATTTTTTGTATTTGATTTGTTGTGTATATTAAATGGTTTGTCGAATTTTTATGCATTGTTTGTTCTACAAAGATAACTGTTCATTTTGCATTTATCTACATGTATAGTTATTTTAAGTAGTGTGCATCCTTAGTTGTATCATCCACGCATGTTTGGTCAAGGTACGGCAATAAGTTACTTTAGAATAAACCTGCTCAAAAAATTTTAATCTGGTCCCTCATCCAGAAAATGTAGGTCGGATCCAGCATCTGAAGCAAGTCCAGAAGTGTGCATCCTTAGATGCATCTTCCCTGCAAGTTTGGTCAACATAGAGCTTTAAGTTCATTGGAAATGCGACCTGCACCAAAAACTTCAACCTGCTCCAAAAACATTACCTGGTCATTCTTTAGCTAAAATTGCAGCATCTCAAAATGGTACAATGAAACACTCTAGAAGCATCTTCCATGTATCTATGATTAATGTAGGGTATAGAAGTACTTAAAAAGAGAACTGCTCCAAAAACTTTAACCTGCTCCAAAAACATTACTTGGTCATTCTTTAGCTAAAATTGCAGCATCTCAAAATGGTACAATGAAACACTCTAGAAGCATCTTCCATGTATCTGTGATTAATGTAGGGTATAGAAGTACTTAAAAAGAGAACTGCTCCAAAAACTTTAACCTGAGATGCCGATGCTGAGGGTATCACATAAGCTCCCCCCCCCCCAACATCGTTGAGGTGAGCTAAAACTGCAATCATTCAGCAGTATTCTTCCTCAATAAACACAATTTCTAAATGATCTTTTTGTAGGATTTGGAAAACTTACCATAATTTATAGACAGTTCTGCACACACACACACACACACACAAAATAAAAATAAATTGTAAAATATTTTACTACTATAATTAATATAAAGACTACATGTATATCAAAATACTTTTAAAACCGAGTATACAAAATCAATAAATTTAAAATGTTCAACTTGCGTACCCTCATGTATAGCAAGATACATAAGTGGATCAATCTTTTGTTGTTGTTTTTTTCAGACTTTATACCAAATTTTTTTAGATAAAATTTATCCTATATTTTACATACATTCAAAAACGGGACAAAGAATATAAATGCCATGTAATTGTCAAGGTCAATAAAATTGATGCTGATGCAGTTGAATAGCTCTCATCAGTATGTATCAGCATAATTTATAAAGTTTGATAAAAATTTCTTGAATAGTTTCTTTGAAACTGAGCTAAATGCAAGGTGTGATGGAAGGACAGACAGACAAGAGAAACAATGGTGGAGCATAAAAAAAAAACTGAACACCAGCATTTATGATACCTGGTCCATCAACAAAATCCCATCCATTTTGGCTTGGAAATCATTACTCCTTTTTACAATTATACCTGTACATTTTTATAATTCAGCAGTTGGTGCTGAACATGATATACTTTCTGTCAGGTTTTTCAGACAATACATTCAGGAATGTAGACCTTTTTCTATCAAGTATCTTCTTCTGTTATCTTGTTTTAGGAAAGTCATGCTGTCAACAGATTCATCTCTGATAGCGGCGTCTTGCCCTAGCAGCTGAAAAATTCAAAAATTGTTTTCTTTAACTTCTAGAAAAACAATTAATCAAAATAGCGTATTCAATGCATATGTTATGAATATTTTAAAATATGTGATATCTAATCGACAAGCAGCCTACTGATTTTAATGCTATTTAAAATAACATGTTTATACACAGCATACACTGAACAAAAGTTGTAAATGTTCATCAAATACATGTACTTTTTTGTAACTAGATCTTTATTCATAGACTGATCAATGTATCATTCAGATGTAACATTAATCTTTGGGTGATTTCACAATGAATAGGATACCTTCTTATGGTGGAGAACAATTAAAGCTAAATATTTAATACGGTGGTTATTCTTGTGAAAATATGTGAAAAGCTAGTTAAATTCAAAATAAATTCAACATCTTTTGGAGCATTAACAACTATAAATACCAATTTTGATTAAATTTAAACTAAAAATAAAATTAAGCTAATTAGCCAGATATTGAGTTTGTAACCATGTCAAAGAGTCCTGCATTTAGTTATAGGGCCACTGGGATGAAGAGGGACTTCTAAAGGACTGTATTTGGAGAGGATGATTTTGTACTCAGTTTTTGTCTTAGACTTAGGGAGAAAAATAATGCTATTCACATTTTTTAACTTTCCTCTTTTTTGTAAAGGGGGGGGGGGCTTCTTTTTGTGTGTGTTGGTTAATTAAGTACAAGGAAAAAAGAAATCATTTATTTAGAATATTGATTTAATAGAGCATATTATTGAGCATATTATCACCACCATAACTGGAAAAATAATCAGAAATTTAAAAATTCCTTTGGAAAAGAAATGGTTCAATGGTATGCAAGAAAGGCAATAAAACAGATCATATGCACTTACTTATGTCTATTTTTTTAAAGACACAATATTGGGGAAATGTGACTGGAATTGGTCTAATGGGAGAGAATATGTATCCGGACAAGGAGTTTATATAAAAATCTTGTCCTTTTACTTGGTTCAAACACTGCATACCATTTACCACCAAGGATACTTTTTAGGTGAAGAAAGATATAAGCCACAGAGCAGAAAATATATACTCCAGACAAGAATTTTGCACAAAAGTCTGCTTTGATCTTGAATTCTGACTTTTTTAAATACAATACTTAGATTGCTTTGACCTTAATCCTTGACTTAAAAACTAAGTTCAAGGTCACTGCACACATTTGACTTATAGGCACTGTTTGGACACCTTACTATCACATAACTGACCAGGTGAGCTAAAATTATCACAAAATTCAGCTATTTTCCAATCATTTTAGAAACTGGGATAAGAACTTAGAACTTTTGCTAACTGTACCTGTTGTATTACTAACTGTATCTTCACAGGCACTTGACGTACATGACATATTTTTCTTATAATAAAAAATACAACCCCTAGCCCTAATAAATCACACAGGCTTTCTCAGACTTCTGAAGCAGTAGCTTGAAGAGAAATTTTTAATATTTGCACATGTCCTTTTGTATGCACTTTCCATAAGTAATATTATATCCCAAAAGACTGACTGCTGAATTACTTTGGTGGCAAAGAATTCTTATTACCAAGTTTCAGGTGGAAAAAAGTTGATGTGACTGTCCTAGAAAAATTCAAGCTGTGTATCTTGTGGTTTGTTATAAAAGGGGTTATATTTTTTTATGATATTATAAAAAATATATAATGTGTTATATTTATTATGATGAAAAAAATATATAATGTCAAGTGCCTGCATGATTTATTAGGTAGGTGGTTATATTTGATGATAAAAAATATGTCAAGTGCCTGTGTTTATTTTTTTCAATTTGTATTTACTATGAAAGAATAGAAATAAAGCTCCTCCTAAAATAAACCCACCTCTTTCCGACCTCTGCCTCACTGACTTTGGGGTGCCGTCTACTACACTCCTGCCATTCAGAATGGAAACAGAAGACTTTGATCTCCTGTCACCAGGTGTAGTGTGCTTTTGCCCTATGCTATCAGACTTGACAATCACACTGTTAGGGGTTGCCCTTCTCTTCCTTCCTTTCTGTAATACCTTTGCTTTCAGGGTGTTTGAATCTCCATTTACAACAATCTTTGAAGCTGAACTTTTCTCTGTGATGGATGATTTAGATTTTTTCTGATTCAAGTCTTTTTCTTCCACTGTTTTAACTATTTTTCTTATATGAGCAGATTCATTTTTTCCTAAATCTGATGGACTGTCAAACTTCCTGCTTTTGTTTGATAATGTTTTAAGTGATTTTGCTGACGATTTTCTTGAGGACTTTACTGTCTTCTGCTTAGCATCCCTGTCTTCTGCTTCCTGGAGCTTCCTTCTTGTCACAGTTTCTGAGCCACCATTTTCCACTTCTGACTGCTCTGACTCTGTGTCTTTCTTCATTTTCTACCATAAAAAGTAAAAAACTTACAATATACAGTTGAACTTCAGTATCTCGAACACTGATATCTCGAATACCATGGATATGTCAAAGTGATTTGGAAGTCCCAACCCCTAATTCTTAAGGTATTTAACCCTGGATATCTCAAACCCTCAGATATCTCGAAGTTTTTTCTCAGTCCCTTTGAGTTCGAGATAACGAGGTTTGACTGTATAATGTAGGGTATCATTTACTCTTTTTCACTTTCCACCAGTTCAATGTTCTATTCAAAGCTTAATTTTGAATTGTGTTCACTACATGTTTATTTTACACTCTAAATCTTCAGCAGACATATATTACACTATATTTCCTTTTAAATTAATTAAGTTCTGAAAAAATGATACGCCATGATATTTGGCCAACTAATTTCATAGTTACTGAATCATAAGATAAATTTGATGTATAATATTCCTACCTTTGCATTATTCTTGGCCACTTTTGAATTTCTCTTTAGTCCCCTAACTGTGATTTCTAAAATGTGTACAAATCTTTTCATTAACAGATAAAAACTTATGTGAATCAAGGTGCTTTTTTGAAACAAAAAAATTGACTGCTTTTTTCATACAGTAATTAGTGATGCAATATCTTTGTTGGTACCAAAAAAAAAAGATAATATCAAGCAATCAAAATATCAAGAATAACCAAAATTAAATCTTTCATAAATGCTTTCGGGATAGTCAAGAACTCTATCACTTTGAGAATTATTCCATAAAAAGATGTCCTTTTTAAACACATAATGATACCTTTTGGAACCAAGGGCCCTGGATTGCCATGAAACCAAATGGTTCTCTTGTTGTGGTCCGCCATGTTGTCCATGCCTTCCTTATAATAACACTGAAGCCATTCTGAGAACTTTGAATAATCTGGATCTCTCCCCTCAGGGTCGTAGCCTGTCCCTCCTGGAAGATGATTTTACAAAGATGATTTTACAATATATACATTGATATTCCTCAATTTTTTTCACCTTAGTTTACAATCACTCCAGAAGTACGGTTACAACAATATTTGTTCTCCATCTACCCCAAATAATTTATTTCCAAGAGCATTAAAACTGATTGTTTTATTTTTGTTTTAAGCATTCCTTTTTATTAATTTAAAAACAGATAGAACAAGATGTGCTCCCCTTTTCACATATCAATGCAGGGTGATATACCTTTGTGCCAAGTTTGCCTAACTTCCACATTAACATTTATAGAGAGTTGCAATGACATTGGGAGTAAGACAGAAAATTTACAACCAAGGTCAAGGCAGTAGAGAAACAAATATCAAATGAGAAATCTTGTGCCCTGTTCACACGAAGAGTTTAATTCGCAGTAAATTATTGCGAAGTAAAATGATGCAAATTAAATTAATGCGAATTAAATTGCGTTCACACGACAGCAAATGCAAAGTAAACTAATGCGAATTATAATTTTATTTCTACAACAAGGCTATTCAGTGAGGCTATTATGACGTCATTTACAAATCACACCATATTGTGCAGAGCAGATATACATTTGACATAATGTCATAGTGTCTGCTCAAATTAGTGATTAATATAATTTTCCTTTGTTTTCCACTCAAAAATAGCACAAGTACCTATATTTGACCATATACATGTGGCCTGTGACTAAATTCTGCCCTTACGCATGCGTCAAAATTTAATTCGAATTTGCTTCGCTTAGCGTTCACACGGAGCTAATGCGAAGTAATTTAATGTGCGGTAAACTAATTCGAATTAAACTAATTTGCATTAAATTCCCCGTGTGAACGCGGATCAAATTTAATTCGCAGTAACTTATGTTTAATTCAAATTAAACTCTCAGTGTGAACAGGGCATAGGTTTTACTACAAGAACAAGTTGGAACACTTGTGATATTTCATTCTCTAGCTTTTCATATTCTGAACATGACAAAAAGAAAAAAAAAGATAGGTAGCAAAACCAAACAAATATTCAAATATACAATCTCTAAATTCACTTTTCATGGATCAAAGAAATTGTTTATTTACATTTGAGGAAATAGCTTTGTTTAATATTTTCTTTAAGTAAGCTGTATCTGGGATCAGCCTTAGAGATGGTTGTAAGATAACAATGTCCTGACTTAGTACCTAGATTGATCACTTCCTGTGGCAGAATATGACACAGCTGTAAAATGTCCGGGGTCTCTGTTTTGAGTCTCAATTTTTCTGAATTCTCAGATACTTCATCACAGAGAGGTTCCAAAACTGACCTAGCAGACACAAATGGTGGTATTCCTGCCCTGAAATAAATCACGACAAACAGTAGTTATTATTAAGAATAACCTACTTAGATGCTTTTCAACCATGCATAATTTCACATTTTACTGTATACAGACAGACAGATGCACAGCTAGCAATATATATAACATAAAACAATATACAGCTGCAACAGCTCTAAGATTATTGTATGCAATCCATCATTAAGCATGTTAAGTTGAAGGCAGAATCCAAAGTATGTATGGCAGTTTTCATCTCTAAATACAGAGTATATCAACCATGTAAGTTGGTCTGAGTAGGGTTTACTTATTAAAGAAAATAAGCCATGGGCCTTGACAGTCACCTGAGTATCATGAGTTTCTCAGGTTATGACAACTTTCGAGGCACATCTAGAATTGGCCTGGACTTATGTGATAAAAATTTGGTAAGGACTCTATAATCATTACATATTCATGCAGCTTGTCTCCTAGAAGTTCAAAAGTAAAGAAGATAAGGTGTATCGAATGATTTTCAATAAATAAATCCCACCCAAGGGCCTGAACCATGGGTCCAATAGACATGGGATAAGAACACCACTTGGTCACTCCAATCACCATAGACACAAACACAGACAAGAACATCACCTGGTCACTTCAATCACCATAGACACAAAAAGAGACAAAAACATCAACTGGTCAATCCAATCGCCATAGACACAAACACATACAGGACTGTCAACTGGTCAGTCCAATCACCATAGACACAAACACTTAAAGGACTGTCAACTGGTCAGTCCAATCAACATAGACACAATCACATACAGGACTGTCAACTGGTCAGTCCAATCACCATAGACACAAACACATACAGGACTGTCAACTGGTCAGTCCAATCACCATAAACACAAACACATACGGGACTGTCAACTGGTCAGTCCAATCACCATAAACACAAACACATACAGGACTGTCAACTGGTCAGTCCAATCACCACAGACACAAACACTAGGGATGGGTATCGGCAAAAATTTCGTATCGTGATATATCATGATTTTTTCCCAAAAATATCACGATAAATCGTGATATTTTTACACACATTTTTTACTACAATTTCAAATGAATTTCCATAATATTTCTTAAAAATATGCAATGAAAACATAACTTTACATTTTAAATTTTCATTTATTTAATATATTAGCATGTTTTGATGCCGTTGTTTAACTGTTTTCAACATTTTTTTTACACATCCTCTTATTGTCATTCAATAGTTTGAACAAATAAATAATTTCCTCAGTTTATAGTTATGTACCAAATACCAGTATTTTAGTCTCCACATCACGATACGTATCACACAATAAAAAATCGTGATATACCGGTTTACCAATAAACTCGCACATCCTTAACAAACAAATACAGGACTGTCAACTGGTCAGTCCAATCACCATAGACACAATCACATACAGGACTGTCAACTGGTCAGTCCAATCAACATAGACACAATCACATACAGGACTGTCAACTGGTCAGTCCAATCACCATAGACACAAACACATACATGGCTGTCAACTGTTCAGTCCAATCACCAAAGACACAAACACATACAGGACTGTCAACATACATGGCTGTCAACTGGTCAGTCTAATCACCAAAGACACAAACACATACAGGACTGCCAACTGGTCAGTCCAATTAACATTGACACAAACACATACAGGACTATCAACTGGTCAGTCCAATCACCATAGACACAAACACATACATGGCTGTCAACTGGTCAGTCCAATCACCAAAGACACAAACACATACAGGACTGTCAACTGGTCAGTCCAATCACCATAAACACAAACACATACAGTACTGTCAACTGGTCAGTCCAATCAACATAGACACAAACACATACAGGACTGTCAACTGGTCAGTCCAATTACCATTGATGCAATCACATACAGCACTGTCAACTGATCAGTCCAATCACCATAGACACAAACACATACATGGCTGTCAACTGGTCAGTCCAATCACCATAGACACAGTCACTCCAGTCACAAGACACATACACACAGATAAGAAAGTCACCTGGCCATTCTAATATAAACACAAACACAAACACTTACTCTACAAAAACATCACCAAATGATTTTTTATTTTGCTAACCTTTCTTCATAGAAAGACTGAGACATCACCTGGTCAGTCTAATCAAATACACTTTTAGGATGCAAACACATACAGGTTCATTAGGATTTATTTTCAAATCTTTTTAAAGTGAGATTCATAAAGGACAAAAGATACATGTATTTTGACGTCATAATGAGGAAAAACGCCGGTAAAGATAACGTCATAAAATGCAAGTTGCGTACGTTATATATTTTTCCAATATTTTTACCTGATCTCTATCAACTTATTTTCATTGTTGTTTATATCATTTAGAGCCAATAAAATATCAGGGGAAGAAAAGGAAATATGAATTTTTAAAGCTAAGTTCCATATAAATGGACATACTGTATATATATCATCTATCTTAAACATCCCTTTTAAAGCATGATTTTCTTTACCTGTATAGTATCTCAGCTCTCAAGTAATTTCCTATTCCATTGAAGTATGTTTGGTTCAAAAGAAATTCACAGATTGGTTTGTTGAAAACTGAGTGCTTCACATTGTCCAGGACATTCTTCCTATTAATTAAATAATTTTTTTTTCATTCTATATACCATGTACATATGGTCTGATATTCATAGTTAAATACATGTGTATCTCGGAAACATGTAAATAATTGATTTTCATATCATTACTGTGTATAATTAAATCATTCTGCTATTAACAAAAACTCAGTAGCAGGTATATTGATCAAAGGAGTACAATACATTTCATTCATTCATGAGAATGATATGTTATACTAAACTATATAACTAGCCAATATACTTTACAGACCATTTACCTAAAGGCCTGGTACTCAAACATGACACATGGACCTCTCTCTTTTGACCATTCGCCGCCCACCTGCCATTTCCCAAATCTCCTGTAGTCAACAAAACTTAGCACCATCCTGGGTTCATCTTTAGTGAAGAAATTAAGATGTGCATGCTTCTTCAGTTCAGTTGCTTCATAAAAATCAAACTTCCCGGACATGCCAAACTGAAATACGATGTCCAGAGATCTGCTTTTACTTAGTGATTTCTTGTCCTCGCATATGGTGTTTAATGTGAGCTTCATTTCTTTGCCCCTTGAGGTAGCCGAGATAGTGTACTCATCTTCAAACTCCACATCAGCATGTTTACTCACCTCTGATTTAATTATCGGGCCTTTAAAAAGCCTACCTTTACAGACAAGATTAACAAACTTGCTGGCAAGATGCAACTCTGGACCTTCTGGCATGGTTTTGGCTCCTGACACGAGTTCACCATGTGGCTTGTGTGTTACACAACCTGTTTACCTCAAAGAATTATGGGATATTTTCTGCTCATGAAACCGGAAATGAAATATCGCGGGAAAATTCAGTCATCAGTGATCAAGGCAGCAGATGTTTCACAGGAACGATGCCTCGGACAAGAAAATGGAAAGCCAAAACCACAACAAAAACTTCACCACCTGAAACTGTGGAGAACTCTCTGCTAAAAGATTACGATGACAATATTATACGAACTTTGGCTACTGCTGAAGACTTCGTTGTAAATAATCCACCCTCACTGATGGGGATGCTGTACGGAGACTTGCCGCCATCAGTTGTATGGAAAGTTTTGGTGAGATTTAGTTCCAGACATAATATTAAGTCAGTGAAAGGGTGTTGCGGTTGATGAAGTTTTAGCCTTGGTAGTTTATAAATAAATCAGCTAACTAAAAATTAAAAAAAAAAACCCGCACATATTGACTAATATAGTACGACGTAACACTCGAACACCCAAAATGGTATTCTCTATTGAGAAGTTGAGGGGGAATATAAAACGAGCCATCAACTTCTCAATAGAGAATACCAAAAGAGGTAAGAGACATTTTTAAGGACATACATGTGCTCTACAATGTATCTTTCCCACTGATAAATTTTCAAGATATTCCTAAATTAAATTCATAATAATATAGCAGATGATCTTGACCACAAAAAAAAAATCAGCATACATTACCGGGAGTTTTGAACAGATATCAAATGATGAAAATCCTTGCATTCTTTAAAGAAAAATTAACAAAAGTATAAATTTAGGTGGTATTTCCTTTAAATTTGATTCAGAGTTGGTGAACATCATGAATCAACTAACAAAGTTTGATGATTCAAAGCCAATTAGTGTCTGAAATATTAAAATATAGACTTAACTTTTGAAGATTTATTAAAATATTTCAGATACTACTTGGCTAAGAATCATCATACTTTGTCAGATGATACATTTTGGGTCCTCGGAGTACATCAACTGAAAAGTAGGTCACCATCACAGTCTTCGACAAATTCCGGGAGTCAGAAGCCCGGGACCTGGTAAAATTGGAAGCGGGCATGTGGAAATTGCATACTTACAAGCCCGAAGGGCGTGTAAATTCTGAGGCTAAGCCTCTGTATTATCAAATTAAATAATACCAATAACATTAAATGTACTTAAAAGTCTGATTTTTCATCTAAAGTGGAGCATCAAATAAAATTTTAATGATAGTTTATTCTACCGCGATTTCCAAGGAACTCTTTTTCAAAGGAGACACAAAAAGTATACATGCTGAAACCAATATGTGACTTCCAAGGAACTCTTTTGCAAAGGAGACACAAAAAGTGTACAGGTTGAAAACAATATTAATGGCGAGACAATAGATCAATAGAAATGGATTTCGGATCATTTCCTTGGCATGAAAAGGCAAATAAGAATAAAATTATTTGATAAAATTCTGGGCATGTAAATATTTGTTCGGGCTAGCGTAATAAGTGGTTAAACCTGCCCAAAAGGCATGTACTGAAAAAAAGATTTGGCGAAGACTGCATCACCTACTTTTTTGAGGCGCATCGCTATCAGCGATGTAGCCTCATTGCTGACGACCCCCAATTCTTTCTTTCGATTACTGCGGTGAAAAGGACTCCACAATATTGATTCTAAATATGCTATTGAAAATAGTGCAAATGTATATTAATGAGTTGGTTATATTCATTGTCTATTTTTAAATATCAAATAACATAAACTCTCACATATACTTAGGTATATGTTTTTTATACGTTGAAAGCAAGAAAGAAAACAAAAATGAAACAAACAAAAAGAGAGAGAAAAAAAAACAACAACGAACAAACGTGCGCTACGCGGAGTAAGATCTATTTGCATCACAACAGCTCGTACTATAAATTATTAGGCCTTGTAAGATGACATTGCTTGTAGGAACAGTGTTCGAAATTCAGAATTATTTTCTATGGGTCCAAAGGACCCACAGAGAAAGGGACCACACGAGTCCTTCCAGGGCAGCATAGGCCCAAAAAAAATTATTTGGGAAAAAGAAACTTTTACGTATTGATGATCTCAGTAAGTTTATCGCTTCATATGAAATATGTCAATTTAATAAAGGGTAACTACAACTCGCAAGTATTAACAATATGAAACACTAAAACATAAATTGTCACACAGTATATAACAAGTAAAGAGTTTAACATGTGTTTAGATTTTTCCTCGGAATTACAATTTCTGTTTTTAAAATCGGCGGGTAGAAAATTACACAGGTTTCTTAGATTACCACAATATCAGGGATGGGCACGATTACTGAAAAATGGTAATCGATTAATAATCGATTACTTATAGGAATTTTGTGTAATCGATTATTAATCGATTACACTCATTTTTGTCTTGTAATCGATTACTTTGGAAGATGTAATCGATTAATGATCGATTACTTCCAAGTTTTTATCCCTTCAAAGCAATATTTAAATGGTAAATGTTGATGTTATCCACTGAAGTTTGAATGTGTTCCTGCAGTTTCAGTGCAGATTCTTTCATGGTTTTATTCTGGCTAACATTCTCACTATCTTCCTATATTAAATGAATGAAAATTAAATTATAAGGAATGAAATTAATAGCTACCCAATTTATACTGTATTTATAAACTGGGGTGGAACAGTTCGCACTTTTTTATAAATTGCTTCGCGGTATATAAAGCGTAAACTGCCCCAGCCCAGAAATTCAATCCTTAATTGAAATAAGTGTTTTAATGAGAGCTATTAATTGTTTTAATAATATTGTTTGTCTTCAATGGAACTATGAATTATAAAAGTTAAACACTAGGTAGTTCACAATTTACACCTCATTATCTGCAAATCAGGGATGTCTCAGTCAACTAATTTGCCAATTAAGATAAGCAAAAACAGTGACACATTCCCTCTCTTACAGACATTTATAACATCTCACTGATATAAAAGCAACCTTACAATTTTGAATGAAAACATGAGAATGATTTTACAAATTTTAAAGTTACTAAAACACAAGTTTGAAGTTGTTTAAACATTTTCAGATATGAATAAGTATTTCCATTTTCTTCTTTTTTCGAGTACAATGTAGTTTATTTAACAAATTATTTATATTTAATACAGCGCTTAAATCTCTGTATATTTTATTAATAAATGGTTCAAATACACTTCTGAATTATTTAATACTAGACCAGTAGATCTGTAATGCAAATTTTATTGAGAATATTATTAAACTTATGATAATAAAAGTTAGGAAATCCAAACATTACACTAGGTGGTTTATATTTGATATTTATGTGACTGACTGGAAATAATTCTCCAAAATAATATCCATTTACATATAAAATAATTGAAAGTAATCGAAAAAGTAATTATAATTACATTGAAAATTTTAGCTGTAATCGATTAAATTACGATTACAAGTAATCGAAAATCTCTTCGATTACAGATTACTGTCGATTACTTGAAAAAAAGTAGTCGTTAAAATCGATTACGATTACTCGATTACAATTACCCCATCCCTGCACAATATGTTGTTAAAATGTACTTAAGTATACTTGGACAATTTTCCGTGGAAAGTTTGTAACCGCATACATATAGCATAAATTTATTCCACGCAGGAAAAAAAATCAAATCTTCAGTATATATTTAAAATGCACATGAAAAGAAGAATTGATACAATCTTGATAAAAATAACAAGTTTTACCCATCTTAAGTCCAATTTCTTTTAAAGACGCTCATTGGTTAATTTGTTTAATATATCCAATTAAAATGCAGGAATGATATAAAAGCTAATGTAAATGCAGAAACCAATATATGTAAACTTCAATCGCAACTTCTAAAGCCTTTCCAGGAAGCGGTAAAGAAAAACAACGGTGTATTTTTTCAAGCTTGCCGGAAAGGTCCAAGAAGATGTGATTGACTTTAACTTGTTTCCCGGCATCGGCCCAAAATTATTTCAAGGACCCATTTAGTCATACTATTCGTGCGTCCTTCTGTTTGTACATCAGCGCAGGACCGACGGGCCGACGCTAATTTCGATCACTGTGTAGAAATATCTGAGAAAAATATACAATAATTTTATTTTATAAAACATCACTAACAATAGGAGCAAGATGGTTGATTTTTTATAGAAATAGAAGGAATATTATTATTTTTTCACTTTGATGAAACGAATAGTAAGATGTCCAACTGAATAAATGTTTGCAACAAGCGCCACCTTTCGGGGAATCGAGGGTGACATGAAATGGTGAAATGATTGGTTTTTGGTAAAATGTTGGTTGAATATGATTAAATGACTGATAAAAACATGCAATGGCTGTGGATTTCAATTAATAGGATTAGCAATACCTCATAACATAGACGTTTTGAGTTCAATCCTTACCGCCAAGGTTTTCTAGAGACAATTTTATCGAAAATATCGGAGGAAATTGGCCGCCATTGACGGGTTTCATAGTATACGGTATACCACGCCCGATTGTCTTTAGTTTTTTTTTATCCAGTATTATTTATATGAACATTTCATGTATCCCACTGTGCTTTATGTATTATGCCATTTTGATTGAGAAAACTAGTCTAAGACAAAGTAATGATATTTAAAAAAAAGTGCACATGTTGAAGAAACTAAAAAAACTTCAGATATGATATTATATAGAATTATTCAATAATCATTCCTTTCTAAATTCTCATTCATTATTTCATCTTCCTACTATGATAATAATGAAAGAATTGAAATTAAAAATATAATTAAAATCAATTATAAATTAATTTAAATATCAATGAATTGTAATTGATATCTTAAAAAAATGTTTGTTTGACCTCTCCTGACCTACTGGCTAAAATGCCAAGACTCAAAACATTTTTTAACATCAAAGAAACGATATTTAATTTTTTTTTTTTTCCTGATTTTCCCTCAACATGTAAGTTGAATTTTTCAGAGAATTTTTTTTTTTTTTGAGTTTTCTATCTTCAATGCAATGCGCCTCTCAGGCCTTCATGCCTTTGATTGAAGGTTTATGGCTATATTTAAATATTTCAGATACTAATTGGCTTAGTATGTCATCAGGTCGCGGTGACCAGCTTTTTGAATTTATGAAGGCAATATCTATATATTTCATGTAAGAGACTTAGAATTATCAAACTTTGTCAGTTGATGCAATTTGGGGTCATCTGAGAATATCTGCCAAAAAGAAGGTCACACCGTAACCTACTTTTTGAAGTTCACGGCCTTATCTGAATATATTTAAGAAAATAAGGGACTAAATTCAAATCAGCAAAGGATCATTCTCTATAAGGCCGTTTTGCGGCCTACAATGACTTCAAATTTTCAAATAGTATTTTTTCCCTTAAAAACTGCATGACTCAGTAGGCTAATGTTCCAGTTTAATGATAAATGTTGATTGGTTAATGATACAAAAGTATTTGTTATGATATAGGGTCACAAAGTAAGGTACTATCGGTCCGTATTAGCATTAGGGTAATGGGAAAACTCAAGAGGGTTGGTGTGTTAGGTAACTCCTACACATGTCATAACCACCTTTAACCAACACCAAAATTTGCATGTAAACTTCTTATGAACATAAAAAGTGACTACCAAATTATCAACTTGGTTAAAGGTGGTTATGACATGTAAATAAAAACTTTTCGCTTCATTTTAACGATATATGCAGGAAAAGCTAACTACTCACAATGGAGGATATCAGCTTATGTAGATTATTTCTTATTATAAACTTCAACTTAGAGTACATGTTTCTATTGATTTACTAAGAATTAATATAAGCCATGCATGTTTACTCAAAAAAGGTAAACTTTTTACTTAAAAAATCTAAAATCAAAGGACTGAAATGACTGGTTGTTATGAAATTACGTGAAGACAAGTCTCATTGAACTATCTGCTAGAAATAAAGAAATTTTTTTATAGACTATAAGGCATGAATATAAGTTACTTATTATAATTATTATTATTAATAGGGTAGTTTAGTTTATCTATGCTAATTCTTTGTATTTGTATTTCCTTAGGAGTACTGCATATTTGTTATTAGTTCTAGAAATGATAAAAGCTATTTTTGTTGTAGCGGGAAGATGCATTTGATATTTGTGTTATAGACTTAATTTTTCTATGGGTACACATGTAACTTTTATAGATGGAGAATTACTGATGGGATGGTTTCATAATGGAAATTCTCGCCTCGACCTTTTAGAAGGACACTTTTCCGTATGAGTGACATAGGATCCATGTATTTTGTTAACTGGGTGTTGAGAGGACTCAATCTATTCATCACACTTCTTTGGTAGCATCAATATAAGTTATGAGAACAGTAGTTCTGTCTTAGAAAATAAAACGCCAAGGAGGAAAGGGGTTCCTAAATGTCACGTGATTGATAATTGAATGTTGCTTTACGTCATTTTAGAATTTTTCACCCAGATAAAGAGATCATCCACTTAAGGTGAAGTGTCACAATTTTGATTTATGCATGGTTTCAGTATTGACCAACACCTACCGTGGGGCAGGACCTCCTTCTTTAAGATAATATCCAAAAGACCCATGACTTTTACTTTCAATGCTGAGGACTTAGCAAAGGAACTGTCACTACCCGTGTTAAACATCTTAGTTCTTGACGCAGCACGGAAAGAGAATTTAGTCCTCAGGTTTCAAGAGTGCGAAAGGAGTGTCATCTCTTACGGTCCATTTTGTTCCTGAGATGTTGTAGAACTCTGTTAGTCCATGGATATACTAAAACTTCTGATATGCGTAGTGGAAGGAACTGTTGAAAATCTAAAATCTACTCCATTTTATGGAGTGCCGTTGGGGGGGGGGGGGGGACTCGACTTTTACACATACATTTGTATATTATAGTTTAGATAGCATTTTAAATTAAATATATTGTTTTACATGCGTAATTAAATTGAATAAAAGCAACTCTTACCATGTTATTTCATTTTACGTCGATATATATATTTTTAATACAACCTTTTGAGTTTTATGTACTGACTATTAAGATGTACTTGCATTAATATTTTTATCCTGTAAATTAATGAATTCTTTATTTTTTTTTTTTTTTATTTTTTTTGCAAATGTAGACTATATTTTATAAATTACAACTTAATTTTGATTTAATCACAAACAAAATTCATTCATTGCTTTAAACATTTGATACACAACTTTTATAGTTCAATAGAAACTTAGAAATCTCATTTCTTGCATGGGCATTTTATGCGTAAAATAGGTACCACATCTATAGAAACAATACACAATTACAATATAAACATATATGAAATAATACTTTTAATTAAATGCTAATTAAACATTTTTCAACATCATACGAGGTGCATTTTGTAAAGATTTACATTCAAAATATGCAAAATGTGAATGCATCAAAATTCTTGCCATAAAAAAATATCTTTAGCCTTAAATTAAACAATCTTTGCTTTTATTACTTAAGTCTGATATGTTTCCGACATAAATAAACAATTTTTGATCATTTACATCTAGAAACATGCATAGAAACTTGATGTAAATAGACCTACCCTCAATTTTTCTTTACTTGACGACCGTTTGTGATTTTTAAACCACGCAACTTAGGTGATCGATGTTGAAAAACAAACATCAAAATCATGAAATACAATGATTAAAGTTACATAAAATCACATTTTTAAGTGATTTTATCGTAGGCCGGAAAATGGCATTATAGAGAATCATCCTTTGTCAGTTTATGCATCTTGGGTTCTCAGAATGTCTTAACCAAAATGTAGGTCACAATGACCTATTTTTGGAATTTCAAGGCTTTATTTAAATAGAATTGGATACTTAGAGGCTTCAAATAGAAGTGATAGTTTGTATAATTTATCAGAAGAGCAATTCAAGGCTTTTGGGCCTCCTGTTGTATTATTTTTATATAGCATTTAACACTTCTTAGGACAGGATATTATAGTTCAAAATTTGCAATATGGGTCAGAAACTCATAAAACAGGCTTAGTGAATATATTATACTAGACTCTATTTTAATGTGTAATATTTTTAAAATTTTCAAATAGTTCATTTATAAAATATTTTCCAACAAGTAAAAGTTATGTTCAGACAAGTAAATTTCACAATCACTTGTTTGAGTGTTTGACTTCATAAATATGAATTTTCAAACTTCAGGGCATGTTTCCATGGTTATCATGACACTAGCAAACCAAACAATTTTCAGAAAAACAGCAGAGCCAAGTCAAATTTTTAACACTAAATTCTAAGAATATTTTTCAGTATCTTGTCAATCGTCAGATCACATCTGAGGAAGAATGCACCCTTCTGTGTTTGTTGACGGATTACCTGGCTGGAGAATGTGTTGACCTTGGACTTCTAAACCCCAGCAACAAGTACAACACGCAGACACACGTCTTACTAGAAGAAGTAGCCAATGCATGGAATAATGTTCTACAACAACCTCGTGTTTTCAAAGGTCTGCAAGTTTAAAAAGAATTGCTTGTTGTTCCCTGCTTTTTCTGAAAGTGGGGGATATTAATTTAGGTCTGTCTGTCCATTTGTCTGTATTTCTATCTGATATCTCGAGAAGTTTTTGAGCTTTTGCAATGAAATTTTATACCATAACTCCCTATGGCCCCGCCCGCCCGCCCCTCTCAAAGTGTCCCACCCTGTTTATCAAGTCAATTGGAAATTTGTTGGCATCGATCATGTTCAAAGTTTTAGAGTTACTCCCAGTTTGTATTAAAAGTCGTGTGACACTATTTTTAGCACAGGAGCATGTGGAGAGTTATTACATGTAATACAGGTTGTTGGCTGACTTTATTTTGTAATTACATCTATTAGAACTGTTTAATAAAGATTGTGTAAAATTTTGACAATATCGATCGTGTCAAGAACAAAATATACATTTGGATCTAAATTTGCTCTTGAGTACATCTTGACCTATGATTTTAACAAGAGGAATATAAAATAAATTATTTAGAAATTTGAAATAAGAAATGTTTTATATTCCAAATATATAAAAAAGATAAAATAAGCTGATTTTTTCTAGGGCTGAGACGATACAACTTTTTCTATATCGATACGTATCACGATATTTGAGCCACGATATGATATGTATCACGATATGTTGGATTGGTTATAAAATGTGTTTTTGTATTGAAATGAACGAAACATTTCTTCACAAATAAGACAAATTTATTCAAAGAAGTTGAAAATCTGTTGCAAAACAAAGTCATTTTACCTAAGTGGTATTAATTATTATGTAATTCATATTTAGCATTTTTATTTTATATTTTTAATCCAAAATGTTTAGTAAACAAAGAAAAACATAAGTAAGAAATTTTTTTTTGCAATATTTCGATATTTCTTCCTACGTATTGATGTGCATATCATCCTCACATTGAATCGATATTATCGATATCTCGATAAATTGTTCCAGCCCTAATTTTTTCATCAACATACTTTTTTTTATTGAAATGAATTTGATAATTCCACTAGAATTATGCATGTGTATGGGGACATTTTCAACCATGTCAAAATAAAAGACAAATACACCGTGTCGCGATGATACCTTGTACACATAATATCTTCATTCACTACTGTTTAGGAAGGATAAAACACAAAAGTATTTTGATGCACATTATGTCTCAAATAAAAGAAAAATTGGAATTTATTTCTTCTCATATTTTGAACGTAACGTCTGTCAGTCTCAATACACCGGGTACATTGTTATGAAATGGGCCATTGTTTATGGAAACTATTTTATCTTTCTTGTCTACTGATAGAAAATTTACATATTTATCAATTAAGTGATCCCAGATTCAACAGAAAAGCAGGTGTTTAGAAATTAACAAATCTGTGGGATGCTTCCTGTATCTGTCATGGCAAGTGGGCTTTAAGTTCTATTTTAAGAATGGAGCTCTGAGATGTTTCTTCGTATACATTTGACTTAAAGGTTATGAATATTTAAATTTTCTCCAGTGTTCTATACAAATATGTTTACATTTCGATAAGAAGAGCTACCGAGAGAACCCGAGAAGCCACGAACTTTTGTCTGTCAAGTGTTACGTTACACAAAGTATGTTATGTTCATAAAAATATAAGTTGTCTTCATCCTAGATTTTAAACATGTATCAAATATTGTCAACTAGTAGGTGTATTTTGGGTTTGTTTGTTTTTTTTATATTATGAACTTGCACTCTTCATCACTACATAAACACTTAAAATTTGACATTTCTTACATAACGTACTGATTGACAGACATTGCCTGAATACTATCGTAAAGGTGACGGACAAAACGAATGTCTGTTCATGTTACGTGAATCAAACCGGTGCATTCAGATTTATATGTTCAGTGAATTAAACCAAAAAGTATTTTTATTTAAGAACATTAATGTATCGTAAGGCAGAATTTGTCTTTATAACTTAAACGATACAATTTTGTAGTTGTTTTCTTGCAGTTTTTAAAACAAGTCTGTTAGGGTTACGTGCATCCGTACATGTTACGATATAGGTTTGATCTATATGAAATAATTTATTTTTTTAAATTTCATTAGTATTTTCATAAATAATGATATCTTGTATATTATAATTTCAAGAATAAAAGATAAGCTTTGAATGATAAATTTTATTGGCTTGTTTCAAGAGTGAATTTAGTGCCATTTACAATGTGAAAATTTTGTATAAGAAGATTGTTATGTAGATGTTTACAGTAAGTGAGTAATAGAAAATAAAAAAATAAAATCCTCCTGTCTGCCCCAATTTTAAGCAACATTAGAACTAAAATCTAACTTTAAATTTATGTGGCCTTAAGGCCAAAAGCTGAAAAATCAACCTCTTTTTCTTTCTCCATCTGCATTTGTTTCCACTAATCCAACTCTTCTAATAACAAATTCATCCATTCCTTTCTAATAAATGTTGCTTCTGGAAGTCCAAACATTCAGAATAAGATGACTTACTTTCTGAAGTGTAACAATACATTGTACTTTCGGCATACTCATTGTTCGAATCATAGAGCCGACTTCATTTGTCACACATCTCAGCGGAAAAAAAGTTGAATAATTTGAAATTCAATGTTTAAAAAAAAAAAAAACAAAACAATAAAATCATTTTACAAAATAACAACAGATTTTAAATATATGAATGACCATTTGTTTAAGAAGTACAAACAATTGAAGAACATCCAGATTTGCTAAAAAGTATCTGTATTTTAATACTCAGTATTCCTGCCATTTCTCTAAAACAGGCAAATTCCTCGCCAGTTGTTTAAACCACAGAGATTGGCGAATGCTGGCAAACCTCCAATGGTCAAGCAGCGCATTTGGCGTATGCTGGTTTGACAAATGAAGTCTTACCTTACGATTGTCACTAGCATAAATATGTTATGCCCCTAAAATGACTTGAGATTTATCGCTTTCTTGACTTTAGGTAGTAAGGTAGATAATCATGAGGTGATCACAATACTAAGTATTTTCTGTTTTCAAGAAATTTAAATTTAAAAAAAATTGCAAGGAGAAAGGAATGCATAATTCAGGGATCGACATTAACGGTTGTCCAATTGCCCGGGGCAAGTAAATTCTCTGTTCGGGCATGTGAAACTGCCAGTGTACTTGTCCGATCGGACGAGTGAATATTTTCGATAGAAATATTTTTTTAATCTTGCATTAGTTTATAAACAAAACAATAACACTTGATTTCCGCGAAGAACTTGACATTGTAATGTTTTTGCATTTGGAATTCCTCGGTAGATTTTATTCAGAAATCCATTATTCTGTTTTCTTTCATGGTACCGTTATTAAAAAAAAATAAACAATTTATTTACATTCTTATTATGAAACTAGAATAGTTTATTTATTCATTCATGGAATATAAAGGTCTCCAGTTATTCTCGGCACATAATGTATCCTGATCAGGACATGTATGTTTCAAAACATGGCTGTTTTCAATTAGCGTGGCCTCAGTTTTCCGACGAAAAAAAGCAAAATTCACAAAAAATCCTAAGAAAATAATTTTTAAAAATATGAATTTTATTTTAAACAAAATAGATATTGCTGCATGGCAGTGTGTGTTTACAGTATAAAAGACAGGAAAGTGGTATACATGTACATGTATTTACAAATGTAGGATCACCGACACATCAACATTATTAAAATGTACTTTGTCACTCTTTATTTACAATAATAAATTTAATCACCGGTATTTTCTTCTTTCTAAATTTTGGGCAACCAAGTTTGCAATCGGACAAGTCAAAATTTGAGTTCACTTGCCCGAAGGACAAGTGAATCTGAAAGTTAATGTCTATCCCTGTAATTGTGCTTTTAAGTTCTGTTAAGTAATAACAGGAAGTAGATCTAACATGAATGATTATATGGAGGATATGCAAAAATTGCTGTAAATTCTTTATTCTTCTTTTTTGTAGCATTAAGAGAGCCATGAATTCATGTCATCCAAGAAATGAAAAAAAACCTTCCAAATTCAGTTTGATTTGTTTTCTTCAAACATGAAACCAAATCTCCTTGTTGAAAAAGCTATTTCTAAAACCACAAAAATTGACCCCACGATATTAGTGATTTTACAGTTGAACCTTGTGAAAATAAAATGCAATTGTCATGCAAATAAAGTTAAAGTATTAGTGATTAACATTAAAATATTTTCATGAAAACATAGTTAGCAGTTTGGACTTATTAAAATCTAGGTCAAGTGTTGAACCAATTCTTTTCAGATAACAAGCTGCTGAAGTCTTTACTGTCCAACTTGAAGAAAAGCCTGTCCTCTTTCACTGTGTTTGGTTTTGACCACTACTTTTCAAGGACACTAGACATCGTCAGTAAACATGAACTAAATCAATCAATTGTTCCATTTTTCACCTATCCTATGGTACCAAAGAACTTCTCCATCCCGGAATACAAGGTTAAAAGGATTCTGTCAGCTGGTAAGGTACCAAGACAGGACCTATACAGTTCATATCAGGACACAGCGGGTAAACTAGTATCACAGAGCCATAAGAAACCAAGATGGGACAGTTCAGACATAGAATGGGTGCCTTCAGATGATGACCTGGACACGTCCTCCTCTATCTCTGAATTTGATGGAAAGGATTTAGATCCTTTAAGTGATGTAGACTCTCCACTCAATTCTGATTCAGAGGAATTAATTTCTCATAATAAAGAACCATTTAAAGATGTATCCAATTTCAGCAGCTCAGTCAAACCTGATGAAAAAGGCAAGAAAACCCAGAGGGATTGTTTGGAGAATTTGAAAGACCAAGGAGAAAAGTTTGCTGTTGAGCAGAAGGAGAATCTTATTGGCTGGAAAGATCACTACCATTATGAATTTGGATACTCGTCACCTCTCAAAGACAAAAAAGCACTTCAAAATTGCCAAAACCTATCTAATAGCAAACAGTCAATTAACTCTATAGGAGACACCTATACTGATTACTCAGATTGTTCTCTCTCTCCTGTAATCAGGAAAAGATGTAAAGACAGTCCTCCAAGAATCAGAAAAGGTGAAGTACGAGAAAATGAAAGGAAAGTGAAAACAGCACAGAGAGATCTGTATGCTGATGACTCAGATCAATCACTTTCTCCCATTGTCAAAAAAAGATATAAAGACAGCCTTCCAAGTTGTAGAAATGATGATTTTAGAGGAAAAGACAATAGATTGAAAACAGCACAGAAAGATCTGTATGTCAGTGAATCAGGTTATTCACTTTCCCCCATTGCCAAGAAAAGGTATGAAGGCAGCCCTTCAAGGTGTAGAAAAGAGGATGTCAGAGATGAGAAAGAGAAAAGAAAACAAAGAGATGGCAACGTTGGTGTAAAGGACAAGAAAGGGAAAACATTAAAAGATCCAAAAGAAAAGTTGAGTTTAAGTTATGACAGTGAGCTGAAAAGAAAGGAGGTTTGTCAAAGATGGACAGACATGTCTGGCAGAGAGGAAGAAAGCAAGAGTACAAAGAAAACTTGGGGATACCTTTACGATGATGAATACTTACTCTCTCAACCCACAAAACCCAATGAAAGAAAAAACGGGGTTCCTTTAAAGCTGAAGAAATTATCTGGTGGCTCACATTATAAGAACATAGATATGGAGAGACAACAGTCAAGAAAACAGATGATAAAGGCTTTTTCTGATGATTCAGATTCTTCTCTGCCAGATCTAGATGATGATCAGAATGTACCATACAGCATTAAGCAATGTTGGGAAGATTCTCTGAGTACTGATCAAGTCCTATTTCAACAGACTGAGGAAGATGATTATTATGCCAGACGAGTTGGATTTAGGTCTTTTTATGACACTGCAAGTGATGTAGAAAGTCTCTGCTCCTCAGAATACAGTGATGGTGAGGCATCTGTGAATCATTTTATTTCATGTAGTGAAGGAGGTGGAGTTTCTGAGAAAAGCAAAAAAGACGGGTTTGTTATGTGCAAAGAACAGAAACATGATATAGGGAACAAACAAGAAGACAGATCTACTCCTGGGAAAACATTCAGAAAATGTCATGAAAGCAAAGAAAAACTTAGTGGTGGCTCTGAATTCCTGTATGATGATATGAGTTATGTCTCTGAAACAACCAAGCAGAAGAAACGTAAAGATTGTAAAGATCATGTCTGTGGAAATCCAGCAAAGAGATTAAAGCACATTTCTTCTCCAAAAAGGATGGACCTAGAAAATGAATTGATTAAGAAAAGTATGTATGAAGAAAGCTTTCATCATGCTGCTCCGTACAGAACTCCAGAAATCACCAAGCCTAACAACAGAGATATAGGGAGAGAGATTCTTCCATCCAGCCCACAAAATCCTGAGAAGACACCATCCAAGTCTAGGAACCAAGACATTCGCAATTTTTTTAAAGGTTGTTGTTAATATTTAAGTCCATTATCTGAATATTGTGATTTTTGTCCTAGTCAGCAATGGATGTGCCAACTTTGTTGATTTTATTACATTTCAAATTTTCATTATCTTTTATCGCAGAAAATGCAGATTACCGTATACAGTTCTCTCAGTTTTAGAAATTGTGCCTCTAAAACACATATTGGTATGGAAATGTGTTAATTAGTTAATTAGTGGCAAGATTTACAGTTTTATGCTATTAATGCTGTTAAATGAAGTGTTGATCAATTTTGAAAAAGACCAGTGTACATGTTAAACATAATATCTTTGAATATGATAAAGGTACAGGATGCTTTTTTTTCGTAATTACATGTAATAATTTTTGAAAAACTAAGCAATTTACAGTGAAATACAAAGATGTTGCATAAAAGCAAGTTGGTTAAATTGGGGTCACAATAGGGGTACAAAGGTTAAGGTAGGTGTAGATTTATATAAACATCCTTAAAATTAACAATCCTATTCTTAAATTAATAGAGGCATTAATATTTATGCTGTTTTAAATTTGTTGATGGCATTACCCTCTGGTCAAGGTTAGGGCCACAATAAGGGGCCTCATTGCATACTGAATTGCCCTTGAAGTCAAAGCATTGTGACTCAGATAACCATTGCTATCCATGGTCCATTTGGTTTTGGTTTTGTTTTTTGTATGTTTAATTTTACTCTAAACTCATTGATATTGAGAGATGCATGTTTCATGGAGTGTTGAGTTTTAGTTTTGATAAGTTTTATTAGTAGAGGCACATAAGAGGCTATTTTGTAGAAGTAGTTTTAGTAGTACTAAGTAGTGCATGCATCATAACAGTAGTAGTAGTGGTAGTGCATCCATCAGTAGTGCTTTTGAGAATGTTTTAGTGCTAGTATTACTGTAGATTCCTTATTTTACGCGAGTACTTAATATCGCGAAATGGCCCAAGGGCGTCAATTCGCGAGAAAAATAATTCACGAATGGGTGATTTATCTAGAGATTCAACCTACATTAAAGCACCATCAAAATAAAAGCGTGTAATTTTATTTCGCGAGTGGTGCTTCTCAGGTAATTACACGATTATTTATTCCTCGCGTATATTTAGGAATCTACAGTATTCTGAAGGGAAGAAAATCACCTTACATAAGAAATCCTTTATTTTGTTTCTATATTTAATTTTAGGGAAAAAAATATTAAGGTCAAGATCTAGATTTTTTTCTTTATAAAAAGTGCCTATAGATTTTTGATACACTAAATATGAATTATTTTAATAAACAGTATTAAAGAAGAAAGTTTTTGGTCATAAAAATTGTGCATGGGTATTTTTAGGGTGAAGAAAGTCGTGTAAATAAGGGGGGGGGGGTTTATGCCCCCATAATCAAACATATAATTTTTAGTCTGTCTGTCAATATGTCTGCAAAAACTATAACCTTCCCCATAATTTTTTAAATGGTTGCTGCTAGGGCTTTCATATTTCACATGTGTATTCATTATAACAAGACCGTTCTTTGGGTACCAACATTTTTTACCTTTCGACCTTGACATTTGAGTTTGACCTACTTTGAAAAACTTTAACCTTGGCCCATATCTTTTGGCTGCTAGGACTTTCATATATCAGTGTATCAACATTTTTGAGCGCTTGACCTTGGAGTTTGAACTACATCTGAAAAACTTTAACCTTGAACTGCCATGTGGGGGGCATCAGTGTTTCACAAACACATCTTGTTTTGTTTTTGTTTTGTAGTTGGTAGTAGTAGCAGTAGTGCATGCACTGTTACAGTAGTGCTTTTCAGAATGTTTAAATGCTAGTGTACTGAAAATAGTATCAACTGATTTTATGTTGTGAATTTTAAAGGCTTTCATACTAAACCTTTCTCAAATTATCAATTTGCCCTGTAAAGCAGTACTGCAATTATCATGAAAGGGCTAATTAGATTTTTGTGAAGTCATGCAGACATCTTTTTTTTTATGTCAAGTAATACTCATGTCAGTCTCAGGGATGCAACTCCCATTTTTCTTAAAACATGTTCTTAGAGTACTTTACTGTGCTTAATATTTGAGAAATGATGGGGGAAAATCACTGGAGGGTCTTTTTTTCCCTCCACTTTATGCAGCAAACACAAAATTATGTAGGGAAATTGGGTAGTGTTATATTTTGAAAGATGTGCAAAAATACAATTTATTTTCTTTCTTTCTTTAGAAAGCATCTTCAATTTTTAATCATTAAAAAACAACATATTAATGAACAAAATTTTAAACTGGTTATTTTACTAAGTTGTATAGTTTTTCATTTGTTTTATATGTTTACAAAACATACCAATAGCACCAGAAAATTAAAAATTTTAGGAATATATGTATATTGCCATTTTTTCTTTAAATATATTTATATTAAAATTTAATAAATGGAATTTCAGTATCGGGAGGAACTTTAATATCAGTTACATTGCATTGGCCATCAGAAGTACAATTGAAAATTCAGATCCTTATGTACATTTTTTTTCAATTTTCTACGAAGTCCATTTCTTCTGTTAGTTCATAAATTGGCATTAATTTTCTATGATATACAGAAGCTCCATGTTCAAGCTTTCATGTATGTTCAATTGCACTCAATTTCATTGTTTGTATTTCATGTAAGACAGAGACAAGTCAAAATCACGTATACTGAGTTTTTGCAAGAATTGTTATAAGTCGCATAAAGAAGAAATATATTAAAAGATGGTTCATTCTAGATATGCATACGTAATATTGAATTCAATGGATATTGCCACTGTTTTTGTTGTCTTTTTTTTTTTTAGAAAAGATTTGATTTAACTGATAAATCAGAGGGGTTTTTTTTTTCGCTGAGTGTTAATCCGAGTGATTTGAATGATTTTAATTTTAAATAAAAGACAATTTCTTCCCTCTTCTGAACCTTTTCTTTTAGGTCACAGGAGCTGAAAGCTCAAGTGAGCTTTTCTGATCACCTGTTGTCTGGCGTCCTTCTGTAAACTTTTTACATTTTCTACTTCTTCTTGAGAACCAATATTAACCAAAGTTGGCAAAAAAAAACATCTATAAGTTAAGGATGGATTCTTCCCTTATTGTATTTAAAAATTCATGAAACACACAATCAAGAAGACAAGATCTCAAAGTATCATATCAGTTGAAATTGGCTGTCTTATTTTTGTAACAAGATCAGGTCAAAAATTCATGGTTCGCCAACTTGTATTTAAGGGGTAATGACCCTCTGCTCGAAATTTAACAAAAAAAATTAACTCTAAACATTAGTTTCCATCAACAACTATAGCAATAGTTTCAAAAGGAAAACGGTACGATGTATGAAGCGGTGCTTATTATTTCAGCATTGCATTTTATGTTTGACCATGATATGGAGAAAATTTGACACAGGGAATAGGAGATATTGGAAAAGTAAAAGGTTTGATGAAATAATTGTATTGAGAAGCTCTGAAGTTCATTTGAACTATACAAAGTGGGAGCAGAGCAAACACGTGAGGCCATGGAGGAGTAAGCATCCCCACTCGACCAGTCACACGGAAAAATCTCTAGACAATTCAGTGCAAAAATAAATGCATTACAATTTGTATGAAAAACGCCAGTCAGCATTCATCTTAGATTGTATTTGCTAACATTGTCATTGTATCGACCAGAGAATTTGTAAAATGTTGACTATAGGAGACTGTATATCCTTGTATCGTCAACTTATTTGTCAATAGTTTGCCTCCTTTTAGAAATAATTCGTATGTAGATTAATTTTGACCTTGGAGTTTGACCCAGTTTTAGAAAATATTAACCTTGATGTTAGCTTTTGAACGGTTGGTGCTTGGGCTTTTATATTTACCAGGTATATCCATTGACACAAATCCTTTCTTTGGGTAACAACATGTTTGATCTCGAGAACTTGGAGTTTGACTTGCATTTGAGAAACTTTAACCTTCGCCTTAAGCTGCCATACGGGGGCAAACACATCTTGAAAAAAAAAATGATGTGGATGCTTTTTCAAAAGTAGGTCAAACGCCAGGTAAAGGTCAAAATTGTTGGTATCCAAAGGAGGGTCATGTCACAAGGAATATACCTGTGAAGTATGAAAGCTCTAGTGATAACTGTTGAAAAGTTATGGGCAAGATTAAATTTTTTTTAAAGTGGGTCAAACTCTAAGGTCAAGGTAAAAAATATTTAAACCCATGAAAAGGTCTGTTCACGATGAATACACGTGTGAAGTTCTGATAATTTACAAGTGCCTCTCCTGGTGTTAGTTAATGATTAATATAAACTAAATTATAAAGTGTGTATATCATATAATTACTGTGTGAATAGTACATGCTACAATGTATAAAAACAACATTTTCAGAGGTAAATGTAGTTGAAATCAAAACCATTTAGACACGCTATTAATGCAAAATGGTTAGAACAAGATCTGTGATAATTCTTTTATTCTCTGATTATGATCATTATACATTTTCAATCCATTGTAAAAAAAAAATTACTACAAATGACGCCTTTCGAGTTGGGACTTACCTAAAACTGATGAGCAATATAAAACCCATTCAGAAGAATAGAAAACTGCTAATCAAGATTCTTATCTTTTATAAATTTGACTAGTTCTGACACGGTATGTAAACAGTGCTCCCTGATGATTAGCATTCGGTGTATCAGACTAGGAACATAATCATTGACGTCACTCTGAAATTCGGTGTAAATTTGTGACGCCAAATCATCCATGTTCTCAGTAAAGGAGTTCAAGAGTTTCTGTGACCGACCGTTCTCGTGAACTGCTGAGACGGCAGTATATTCGGCAAGATGGCGAATCTCAAGGTAGAGCTTAATCATATCTTGTAGAAAACCATGGACTTTGGACAAAAGGCTGTTCTCTTTTGACTTGTATCCTGCCAATAAGCCTGCAATTTTTAATGACGATTTCAGTCCAAGAGTTCGAATTTTGAGACACACAGAATGAGTTTTACTTCTCATAAGTAATGTTCTCGAGTGTGCTCTTCCTACACGTTGATTTACAGCAACTTGAATGAGTTTCGGTTCCTTTTTCATTTTCATTGGAAGGAGTAGATCTGCAGCAATGTATTTTTTAGTTGTACGATGAAGGTCTCCATGTTTCTCACGATGACAAAGGTCACTAACTTGGTGATTTACTCTAAAAATTCCACGACATCCCCAACAGAAGCAAATGCCACAAACACATACCACTGAGAAACACCCACCCTGTTTCTCAATAAATTGATTGCAATTCGGACAATTTTTTCCCCGCACCTGGAGCTCGGTGGATGAAATATCATCAATACTGAATTCTATATCAATTCCTTTTCCTCTCAAAAAATTCCAATATTCTTGGGATGTTTCACATGTAGCAGGCCAGTGAGGAAACTTGAAGCAACTGGAACAAAATTCGGTTCCACATTCGCATGTGGTATTGGTGTGATTAATATTAGTTAAAGATGCTGAGATGACACGACCACATTTTTCGTTTGGACAGTATTTGCACTGACTCCGTGCTAAATTTTCCTTCTGCCGTATCAAGTATTTCCGAACATCGGTAATGTTCAAAACTTGTAAAATAAGTGTGAAGTCCACTTCTTTTTCACAATCAAATTCGGGGCACAGAAGCTTGGAAAAATTTTGTTGCTTTAGATGTTCTCTCCAGCAACTTCTACAAAACCAATGGCCGCAGCACTCCATCGCGATTCCTGGTCTGTTCTCGTTCAAGCAGATGTAACATATTTCTGGTGGAAAAGACTTGCATCCCACATCCAAGTGTTTATTTACTTCATATCTTTCTATGGTACTCAATACAGCTTCAGTAAAAGCATCTTCTTCAGTTAAAGTGGACGCTCCTTGGAGCAAACACGAATTTAAAGCATTATATGCCGTCTCACTTTCTCCTTTTAGGTAGACTTTAGGCCTTGCAAATTGTTCTTCCGTATAAAACTTGATTTGAGATACAGCCTGGCTAATTACAGATTCCAATGACCCAGCATAGTAATCAAAAAGGGTTTCTAACTCTATAGTTTCTGAGT